GTAGTGGTAATACCGGGACACGGAATCAAGTCGGGACTTCACAAGCGTCCAGGGGGCAAGGGGGAGCAAGCGCAAGCAATGCGCCGTCCGTGAATCAAGGAAGGACTCAAGCTAGGGTCTACGCGATGACGGAGGCGGATGCTCAAGCTAACCCGGATTCCGTTGCAGGTATTGCCTCTCGTATACTAGTGTTTTATCCTTAATTAGTCCATAAATTGAGGTTACTAATCGTTAGGATCATTGCACAAGGTTTTGGGGTCAAACCGGGGGATTTCGGGCAACTTCAGGCGGCTGGAACCCAGGCACGATCGTGCCTAAGGCAGACACGATCGTGCCTCCAAGTCAGTAGCTGCCCAGGAATTTCACCAGCCCAGGCACGATCGTGCCTAAGGCAGACACGATCATGCCTACAAGGCAGTAGCTCCCAGGTGTTTCTCCAAACCAGGCACGATCGTGCCTAAGGCAGACACGATCGTGCCTCCAAGGCAGTAGCCCCCAGGGCTTTTTCCTGAGCCAGGCACGATCGTGCCTACCCCAGGCACGTCGTGCCTGGCACCCAGATTGCCGAAATGTGATTTTTCGCACCGTTTTGCGACGTTACGACCTTTTCTTGATCCCTAACATGCGTGTGAACATTGTAACCTCCTATAAATGAGTAGGGAGGGTAGGAAAAATGTCTTACATGGTTCATGAATGTAGGGACACTAAAGATTAATGGGAAGGATGCGCGAATCCTTATCGATACCGGGGCGCAGCGTTCATTTGTGAATGAAGCGTTCGCCAAGAGGTTGGGGGTGCAATCCGCACCATTGATGCAAACCTTAGTGGTATCAACACCACTAGGAGATGACGTGGAAAGAACTTGTTATTTTCCATCTTGTGGGGTGGAGGTTAATGGTCAAACCTTGACGTGTGACTTCGTACCGCTGGGCATGATTGAATTCGATGCAATCCTAGGGATGGATTGGCTAGAAAGGAACCATGCTAGGGTAGATTGCTACACGAAGGTTCTTGAACTCGAAGGCAATGATGGGGAGACCCTACGCTTCGAGGGCGATCGAGGGAGATCAAATAGCTGTATCATATCCGCCGTGAGAGCGAGAAGTATGATGAGAAAGGGATGCCACGCATATCTAGCATACGTGGTTGACAAAACCAAAGAAGAAACGAACATCGACGATGTGAGGGTGGTTTGTAAGTATCCGGATGTCTTTCCAAAAGATTTACCGGGACTTCCACCCGATAGAGAGATTGAATTTGTGATCGAGGTCGAGCCCGGCACCAAACCAATCTCCATACCGCCATACCGTATGGCACCCGCTGAACTTAACGAGTTGAAAACCCAATTGCAAGAGCTTTTGGATAATGGTTTCATTAGACCAAGCCACTCCCCGTGGGGAGCACCGGTTCTTTTTGTGAAAAAGAAAGATGGGACACTTCGAATGTGCATTGACTATCGTCAACTGAACAAGGTCACAATCAAGAATAGGTATCCTTTGCCTAGGATTGATGACTTGTTTGATCAACTACGAGGAGCAACCGTGTTTTCAAAGATTGACTTGAGGTCGGGGTACCATCAATTGAAGATTAAGGAAGATGACATACCAAAGAGTGCTTTCCGCACAAGGTATGGGCATTTTGAGTTCCTTGTTATGTCGTTTGGGTTAACAAACGCCCCAGCGGCATTCATGGACTTGATGAACCGAGTATTCCATAAATACTTGGATCGATTCGTGATTGTGTTCATAGATGACATCTTGATTTACTCAAAGAGTGAAGAAGAGCACGAGGAACACTTGATACTTGTTCTTGAGACACTACGGGAGAAGCAACTTTATGCCAAATTTTCTAAATGTGAATTTTGGCTAAAGGAAATTGGCTTTCTCGGGCACGTGGTTTCAGGATCGGGAATTGCTGTTGATAACAAGAAGATAGAGGCCATTACAGGATGGGAGAGGCCGAAGAACGTCAAGGAAATTCGTAGTTTCCTTGGATTGGCAGGCTACTACAGAAAGTTCGTGGAGAAGTTCTCTGTTTTGGCATCACCACTGACGAAGCTCACTCGTAAAGGAGCTAAGTTTGTATGGGATGACAAATGTGAGAAAGGGTTCATGGAGCTAAAGAAGAGATTGACCGAGGCACCGGTACTTGCATTACCCAAACAGGGTGTGGGGTACGATGTCTATAGCGATGCGAGCATCCAAGGGTTTGAGTGTGTGTTGATGCAGGAGGGGAGAGTAATTGCCTATGCTTCACGACAGTTGAAGAAGCATGAGGTAAATTACCCTACCCATGACCTGGAGCTGGGAGCAGTAGTGTTTGCACTGAAGATTTGGAGACATTATCTCTACGGAGAGACATGTCACATATATACTGATCATAAGAGCTTGAAGTACGTGTTTACTCAGAAAGAGTTAAACATGAGACAGAGACGGTGGATGGAATTGATAAAGGACTACCATCTAGTTATTGAGTACCATCCAGGCAAGGCAAACGTTGTAGCAGATGCCCTGAGTCGGAAGAGTTCGTCTGGGGCATTGTTGACTAGTTTGAGGGCACTGAAGGCCCAATTGGATGTATCTAGCGACGGTGCCTTATTGGCACGATTTGAAGTGAGACCGACCTTACTTGATGAGATCAAGAAGGGTCAAGTGACTGACGCAGAACTTATGAAGGTCCGGGAACGCATGCAAGCGGGACCGGTGGAGGATTTCAGGGAAAGAGATGATGGTCTCTTGTTATTTCGTGACCGAGTGTGTGTACCGTCAGATGAGGAGCTCCGAAAGTCCATCTTAGAGGAGGCTCATTCATCGGCTTATGCCATGCACCCGGGGGGCACGAAAATGTACCGTGACTTGAAAGAAAGTTACTGGTGGTCTGGAATGAAGAGGGAAATAGCCGAATACATTAGTCGATGCCTTACTTGTCAACAAGTTAAGGCGGAACATCAGCATCCAGCAGGCTTATTGCAGCCACTTTCCATTCCTGAATGGAAGTGGGAACACGTGACTATGGATTTCGTGGTAGGTTTACCACGGACAATCAGGAACTATGATGCAGTTTGGGTCGTTGTGGATAGGCTCACAAAGAGTGCACACTTCTTGCCTATCAACACTACCTACCCACTGGAGAGGTTAGCCAAATTGTATACGGATGAGATCGTGAGGCTGCATGGGGTCCCAGTGACCATTGTATCCGATAGAGACCCACGATTCACATCACGTTTTTGGCCGAAATTTCAAGAGTCTATGGGAACGAGGTTGAAGTTCAGTACTGCTTTCCACCCACAGACGGATGGGCAGTCTGAAAGAGTCATACAGATCTTGGAAGACATGATGAGGGCTTGTGCATTGGAGTTCCAAGGAAGTTGGGACAACCACTTAGCACTTGTGGAGTTCGCCTATAACAACAGTTATCAGGCAAGCATCGGCATGCCTCCATATGAGGCATTGTATGGGAGGAGGTGCCGTACACCGTTATGCTGGGACGAAGTTGGCATGGCCAAACTCGAGGGTACTGAGTTGGTTGAGGTCACCAAATCAAAGGTGAAGTTGATTCGAGAGAGACTCAAAGCGGCTCAGGATAGACAAAAGAGTTATGCAGATAAGCGTCGAAGAACCTTAGAGTTTAAGGTTGATGACGAGGTATTCTTGAAAGTTTCTCCTTGGAAAGGAATCATTCGATTCCAAACCCGAGGAAAACTTAACCCACGATATATAGGTCCATTCAGAATTATAGAGAGGATTGGGGCCGTAGCATATCGTCTACAGTTGACTCCTGAGTTGGAAAAGATACACAATGTGTTTCATGTATCCATGCTTAAGAAGTATGTGCATGATCCCTCTCACGTATTAGAAAAGCCACCTGTGGAGGTACGTGAGGATTTGAACTACGCTGTGCAACCAATCAAGGTCACCGATAGGAAGGTGAAGAAACTGAGGAGCAAAGAAGTCCCGATGGTTAAAGTCCTTTGGAAGAGCGACCGGGTCGAAGAAGAGACATGGGAAACAGAGGCCTTGATGAGGAAACAGTATGCTTTCCTATTCGAGTAGAGCTGTGAATTTCGGGGACGAAATTCCTGTTAAGGGGGGGTGAACTTGTGACACCGCACCCGAACGTCCTTGAAAATTCAAATTAAAAATTCAAAGTTTATGTATTGAATTTCTGATTCCCAAACAATTGTGAAACGATTGTTGTTTTACGTAATTAACGATTGATTATTATACTGTTCGAACTCGTATATTAGTATCGGGCCTTATTAATAAATAAAAGGGCCTAGCATTATCTAAATAGTGATACATAACGTTTCAAGACAAGTTGAGGAGGGGCGGGCGGCCCAGATATTATTTTGGGCTCAACCCGCTAAAATAGCAAGTATTCGAGAATGGCGTCGTAGGCCCACTCGGGGGCGACCCACACGGCTGGTAGCCCAATAATATGGATGACAAATGTCAAAATAAGTGATAGGATGATTTGAGATGAATACAAATGCCTATGATACCATCTTTGGCATTATTGAGCCAAATAATGGGAGTAGGATTTTCCTTCTATATTATCCATCAAGTAAATTATTGAGATGAACCTACACATATTGGAGATCAATAATGTTATGTAGGAAGTTGACTGGTTCTAAATAAATTAGGATGAGTACAAAAAGACATCTTTGACAAAAGATAAAACAATAGGACCCATTCTTCCATTTTTGGGTGTATTGATAGATATTTTGGATCCCAAAATAATTGGGATCAATGGGGAACCACTCCACATGATATTAGTACCTGCAAGACAAGGAAAATATGTGAGAAGACTCACCTTGGCCGCACCACATGGAGAAGCACTGCCCATGACACAATTGGAATCAAATTTTGGGGCCACCACCACTATTTTCGCACAAACAGGTGTGCTGTTTTGTCTCCCTTCATTTTGAGAGTTGTACTCGTCCAAATGAGGTGTATAAGGTGTCCTTGGATAGCCTTTGAAGTCTATTTTCATAATTGAGTGGTCTCTGTTCGAGAGGAGAGAGTAGTCATCCAAAAATCGATCTGAAGCGAGCAGTGGTCTGTGAACTCGAGCTGTGAGAGTGCTGAGACTGTTTGGTTGATATCTCGAGTTTTACCAATCCAATTAAGGCGTGTGAGATACCAAAAGAAATCTCTCAAGACGAGGAATCCGTGAAGGTCTGGTTTGCATCAATCTGAGTAGAGGAAGGCTTCCAAATCGTCCGATCAAAACACAACCTCGCAGAAACGGATTTACTCTTCTAAAGTGAGTTGTTAACCCCAAATCCTTTCCATTCATTTTCCAAATGATATGAACGATTGGTGGGACTATTGTACACTAATCCAAGTGTATAATATGTCCTTGAAAAGTTATTTTATTGATGTAAAGGTTAGATACTAACCTAGAGCAAATATTGGAAAACTAGGAATCGAGTTAGCCGGAAAACACCCGTTCTAGGGGCTGTTTTCGTATCAACGGTTAGGGGTTGAAATAGCAACTTGAGGAAGCTGCTTAACACCCATTTTCAAGCAAGGAATCAGTTCTCAAGCTTCCTTGGCCGAGGCTTTAGTCATTGGATCGAGAAGGAAAGTTTTAAAGCTCATTTGAGGTGAGGATCGACATCTAGTTGCTTACAACTTGTAGGTTAAGCATGAGATTACCTAAATGCCTAAATAATGTTTTCCATGGATTATGATGATAAATTATTGATGGAATATTGATCTATTTTCCAAAGAATGAAATGGGAAATTGTTTGGTAAAGTATTGATGAAAATGGAGTTAAATGAACTATTGTGTGAAATAGACATTTTACTCATGTGTGAATTGTGTAGATACATAAATGATTATTTATGTATTACATCGAATGATTAAGTTGCTGCTACATATCTCTAAATATGTAGGGTTTTACAAATGGAATATATGATGGTTAAGAATAATCTTAATAGTATTGAAATACTAGTTAATGATTGTTGTAATTGTTGAAGAATTGAATCTAAGGATTTGATTGTAATTGATGAACTTGATTGTGATGCAAGTGACTAAATTGATGTAATGTGATGCTAAGACCATGGTTGGGCAGTCCGTAAGGATGTCCCAAAATAGATTATTGATATTACAATTCTAGGCATAGCGAATGCTTAGGAATTGGGGTCTATGCCAATGTAAGGAGATGTACTTGAGCCGCGCTCATAGAATTGCATTGGGTAGACATGATGGGGTGATTATTGTGCATGGTGATGTAGTTGAGTTGGACTCAAGAAATGCACGGTGGAGTAGTTAACTCGGGTTAAATAAGGTGCATGGTGATGTAGTCGAGTTGGACTCGAGAATGCAAATATATGTGTTAGGGTTGAACCCTATGTATTGTTGTGACTAGGGGTCACGGGATTTTGGGGTATGTTTGATAAACAAACCTTGGGCCTACGGGCCGACTACTTGACTTTATATATAAAGTAAGTATATTTTTTAAAAAAAAGGGGTAACTTGGGGTTACGGCCTAGATTATACTATCACCCTATTTGAGGGTCTTGTGTTTGAAATACTTGTTGTATATCTATTAGATGCCATCCACACCAGCACTTTATAGCCCTATAGAGTGCTGACCCCTTCGGGGGCGTCCCACCACCATTTTTCAGGTTGAGGCTAGAGCTTGCTTCCTGTGCTCGTTGCTCGAGAGATCATCTAGGAGCGAAGACTTGGTTCGTGCTTCCTCCATTCGGATTTTAAACATTAATAAACATGCTCATGGATATTTTACTATGGAGCCTGCGTGCTCATGAATAGCCCGGTGTGGCCTTTTTGTTTTAAACAATGTTTTCCGCTGCATTATGAATTACTTATTATGTTTGTTTATGGATGGCTTACGTGTGAATGATATTCGAGACGCCTTGTATAATATGAATGTGTTGGACTGCGGTTGACTATTCGTATTGTACGGCGGGTTGTTGACGTGTCCGGGGAGGTCCGGGGCGTGACAATTAAGTTGGTATCAGAGCCTTAGTCCATAAACTTCATAATGAAGTCTCAAAATTCTCTTTTTGAAAAGATTTTGAAAACCATGAGCATAGAAGTTTTGTACTTGGAGAGCTTTTGGTACTTGGGTTGCAAGGTCTCTAATTGTTAAGATGGTACCCTTAGCAATTGGTATGGCGGTGACTCGAGCCAAAATGTGTCTTAAGTACCTATCCGTCAATTGACATTTGATACGAGTCTAACGACTCTTTCCAAATTCTTTCAGAAATGGACCGTGGTGGCAGGATTACTAGGAGAAACCCGACCGGCCGTGTACCAGTGGAGACTGGACAGGGCAGTCGAAGGACCTCTAGGGCATCTAGAGGAGCTGGCCGTGGAGGCCGATCACAGACCGTGAGTGACGGTCATGTTGACACAGAAAGTGAAACCTACTGGTCCTATGAGGACTCGACTTACCAACCGGAAACCGAGCCGGTTGAGACCCCTTACGAAGGGGATGACGATGATGTAAGTGATGAAGAGGGGGAGAATGACTCCCTAGCAAGAATTGAGGCGCTGCTCCAACAATATCAACGGGAGCGCGAGGAAAGGAGGGAACGCCGAAGGCGCCGGGGAGGGCGAATTTCGGGTGAGGCTTCAAGAGGAAGAAGCCATGGCGATTCTCGGGCCCACGTTGAACCACATGGGGGCCGGGGTGATGGAGGTCCAATCATAAGGATCTCCAAGTACATCAAAGAGGCACGAGATTTGGGGTGCAAACCCTTCAACGGAGCAGGCGACATCTCGGTCGCCGCGGAATGGATCAAGAGGTTGAACGAGGCAGCCCTTGATATGCAACTCACCCCCGAATTTAAACTAAGGGTGGCGGTGAGATTGCTTGAAGGGATGGCATCCACATGGTGGGATGGAGCCAAGGGAAAGTATGGCAATACCGTGACTTGGGAGAATTTCCGACAGGAGTTCTTTGCCCAATATTATTCTGATTTTGAGGTGAACGCTAAAAGGAGAGAGTATACCCTCCTGACCCAAGGTGGCAAGATGACGGTGAGGCAACTTGAACATAAATTCAGGGAACTCGCGGAGTTCATACCGGAGTATGTCTGTGACGAGAACCGGATGGTAAATCACTTCTGGGATGCCTTAGACTTGGAGGTGCGTGAGAGGGCAACACAGTTGCCTAACATGACCTTTAGCCAAGTGGTTGAGCAGGGATTGAAAGGGGAGAAGGAATGGGAAGAAAGAAAGTTGAAGAACGCCGAAGAGGCGAAGAAGAGGAAGTGGGAGAACCATGGACCTCAGGGTCCTAATAAAAAGGGGAACCATGGGGGGGGGGGGGGAGGATCCTTTCGGACACCCCCACTGCCATCTAGGGGAAGTCAAGGCCCGGGCGGGCAATCACAAGCCTCGGGGGTGACTCGTTGCAAGAATTGCAAGAGGAACCACCTGGGGAAATGTCGTGACCCTCCTAGATGCTATCAATGCGGAAACACCGGGCACTTGAAGATGAATTGCCCACAATTGGGTGGGGCATGGTCATCGGGACCAAGTAGTGGTAATACCGGGACACGGAATCAAGCCGGGACTTCACAAGCGTCCAGGGGGCAAGGGGGAGCAAGCGCAAGCAATGCGCCGTCCGTGAATCAAGGAAGGACTCAAGCTAGGGTCTACGCGATGACGGAGGCGGATGCTCAAGCTAACCCGGATTCCGTTGCAGGTATTGCCTCTCGTATACTAGTGTTTTATCCTTAATTAGTCCATAAATTGAGGTTACTAATCGTTAGGATCATTGCACAAGGTTTTGGGGTCAAACCGGGGGATTTCGGGCAACTTCAGGCGGCTGGAACCCAGGCACGATCGTGCCTAAGGCAGACACGATCGTGCCTCCAAGTCAGTAGCTGCCCAGGAATTTCACCAGCCCAGGCACGATCGTGCCTAAGGCAGACACGATCATGCCTACAAGGCAGTAGCTCCCAGGTGTTTCTCCAAACCAGGCACGATCGTGCCTAAGGCAGACACGATCGTGCCTCCAAGGCAGTAGCCCCCAGGGCTTTTTCCTGAGCCAGGCACGATCGTGCCTACCCCAGGCACGTCGTGCCTGGCACCCAGATTGCCGAAATGTGATTTTTCGCACCGTTTTGCGACGTTACGACCTTTTCTTGATCCCTAACATGCGTGTGAACATTGTAACCTCCTATAAATGAGTAGGGAGGGTAGGAAAAATGTCTTACATGGTTCATGAATGTAGGGACACTAAAGATTAATGGGAAGGATGCGCGAATCCTTATCGATACCGGGGCGCAGCGTTCATTTGTGAATGAAGCGTTCGCCAAGAGGTTGGGGGTGCAATCCGCACCATTGATGCAAACCTTAGTGGTATCAACACCACTAGGAGATGACGTGGAAAGAACTTGTTATTTTCCATCTTGTGGGGTGGAGGTTAATGGTCAAACCTTGACGTGTGACTTCGTACCGCTGGGCATGATTGAATTCGATGCAATCCTAGGGATGGATTGGCTAGAAAGGAACCATGCTAGGGTAGATTGCTACACGAAGGTTCTTGAACTCGAAGGCAATGATGGGGAGACCCTACGCTTCGAGGGCGATCGAGGGAGATCAAATAGCTGTATCATATCCGCCGTGAGAGCGAGAAGTATGATGAGAAAGGGATGCCACGCATATCTAGCATACGTGGTTGACAAAACCAAAGAAGAAACGAACATCGACGATGTGAGGGTGGTTTGTAAGTATCCGGATGTCTTTCCAAAAGATTTACCGGGACTTCCACCCGATAGAGAGATTGAATTTGTGATCGAGGTCGAGCCCGGCACCAAACCAATCTCCATACCGCCATACCGTATGGCACCCGCTGAACTTAACGAGTTGAAAACCCAATTGCAAGAGCTTTTGGATAATGGTTTCATTAGACCAAGCCACTCCCCGTGGGGAGCACCGGTTCTTTTTGTGAAAAAGAAAGATGGGACACTTCGAATGTGCATTGACTATCGTCAACTGAACAAGGTCACAATCAAGAATAGGTATCCTTTGCCTAGGATTGATGACTTGTTTGATCAACTACGAGGAGCAACCGTGTTTTCAAAGATTGACTTGAGGTCGGGGTACCATCAATTGAAGATTAAGGAAGATGACATACCAAAGAGTGCTTTCCGCACAAGGTATGGGCATTTTGAGTTCCTTGTTATGTCGTTTGGGTTAACAAACGCCCCAGCGGCATTCATGGACTTGATGAACCGAGTATTCCATAAATACTTGGATCGATTCGTGATTGTGTTCATAGATGACATCTTGATTTACTCAAAGAGTGAAGAAGAGCACGAGGAACACTTGATACTTGTTCTTGAGACACTACGGGAGAAGCAACTTTATGCCAAATTTTCTAAATGTGAATTTTGGCTAAAGGAAATTGGCTTTCTCGGGCACGTGGTTTCAGGATCGGGAATTGCTGTTGATAACAAGAAGATAGAGGCCATTACAGGATGGGAGAGGCCGAAGAACGTCAAGGAAATTCGTAGTTTCCTTGGATTGGCAGGCTACTACAGAAAGTTCGTGGAGAAGTTCTCTGTTTTGGCATCACCACTGACGAAGCTCACTCGTAAAGGAGCTAAGTTTGTATGGGATGACAAATGTGAGAAAGGGTTCATGGAGCTAAAGAAGAGATTGACCGAGGCACCGGTACTTGCATTACCCAAACAGGGTGTGGGGTACGATGTCTATAGCGATGCGAGCATCCAAGGGTTTGAGTGTGTGTTGATGCAGGAGGGGAGAGTAATTGCCTATGCTTCACGACAGTTGAAGAAGCATGAGGTAAATTACCCTACCCATGACCTGGAGCTGGGAGCAGTAGTGTTTGCACTGAAGATTTGGAGACATTATCTCTACGGAGAGACATGTCACATATATACTGATCATAAGAGCTTGAAGTACGTGTTTACTCAGAAAGAGTTAAACATGAGACAGAGACGGTGGATGGAATTGATAAAGGACTACCATCTAGTTATTGAGTACCATCCAGGCAAGGCAAACGTTGTAGCAGATGCCCTGAGTCGGAAGAGTTCGACTGGGGCATTGTTGACTAGTTTGAGGGCACTGAAGGCCCAATTGGATGTATCTAGCGACGGTGCCTTATTGGCACGATTTGAAGTGAGACCGACCTTACTTGATGAGATCAAGAAGGGTCAAGTGACTGACGCAGAACTTATGAAGGTCCGGGAACGCATGCAAGCGGGACCGGTGGAGGATTTCAGGGAAAGAGATGATGGTCTCTTGTTATTTCGTGACCGAGTGTGTGTACCGTCAGATGAGGAGCTCCGAAAGTCCATCTTAGAGGAGGCTCATTCATCGGCTTATGCCATGCACCCGGGGGGCACGAAAATGTACCGTGACTTGAAAGAAAGTTACTGGTGGTCTGGAATGAAGAGGGAAATAGCCGAATACATTAGTCGATGCCTTACTTGTCAACAAGTTAAGGCGGAACATCAGCATCCAGCAGGCTTATTGCAACCACTTTCCATTCCTGAATGGAAGTGGGAACACGTGACTATGGATTTCGTGGTAGGTTTACCACGGACAATCAGGAACTATGATGCAGTTTGGGTCGTTGTGGATAGGCTCACAAAGAGTGCACACTTCTTGCCTATCAACACTACCTACCCACTGGAGAGGTTAGCCAAATTGTATACGGATGAGATCGTGAGGCTGCATGGGGTCCCAGTGACCATTGTATCCGATAGAGACCCACGATTCACATCACGTTTTTGGCCGAAATTTCAAGAGTCTATGGGAACGAGGTTGAAGTTCAGTACTGCTTTCCACCCACAGACGGATGGACAGTCTGAAAGAGTCATACAGATCTTGGAAGACATGATGAGGGCTTGTGCATTGGAGTTCCAAGGAAGTTGGGACAACCACTTAGCACTTGTGGAGTTCGCCTATAACAACAGTTATCAGGCAAGCATCGGCATGCCTCCATATGAGGCATTGTATGGGAGGAGGTGCCGTACACCGTTATGCTGGGACGAAGTTGGCATGGCCAAACTCGAGGGTACTGAGTTGGTTGAGGTCACCAAATCAAAGGTGAAGTTGATTCGAGAGAGACTCAAAGCGGCTCAGGATAGACAAAAGAGTTATGCAGATAAGCGTCGAAGAACCTTAGAGTTTAAGGTTGATGACGAGGTATTCTTGAAAGTTTCTCCTTGGAAAGGAATCATTCGATTCCAAACCCGAGGAAAACTTAACCCACGATATATAGGTCCATTCAGAATTATAGAGAGGATTGGGGCCGTAGCATATCGTCTACAGTTGACTACTGAGTTGGAAAAGATACACAATGTGTTTCATGTATCCATGCTTAAGAAGTATGTGCATGATCCCTCTCACGTATTAGAAAAGCCACCTGTGGAGGTACGTGAGGATTTGAACTACGCTGTGCAACCAATCAAGGTCACTGATAGGAAGGTGAAGAAACTGAGGAGCAAAGAAGTCCCGATGGTTAAAGTCCTTTGGAAGAGCGACCGGGTCGAAGAAGAGACATGGGAAACAGAGGCCTTGATGAGGAAACAGTATGCTTTCCTATTCGAGTAGAGCTGTGAATTTCGGGGACGAAATTCCTGTTAAGGGGGGGTGAACTTGTGACACCGCACCCGAACGTCCTTGAAAATTCAAATTAAAAATTCAAAGTTTATGTATTGAATTTCTGATTCCCAAACAATTGTGAAACGATTGTTGTTTTACGTAATTAACGATTGATTATTATACTGTTCGAACTCGTATATTAGTATCGGGCCTTATTAATAAATAAAAGGGCCTAGCATTATCTAAATAGTGATACATAACGTTTCAAGACAAGTTGAGGAGGGGCGGGCGGCCCAGATATTATTTTGGGCTCAACCCGCTAAAATAGCAAGTATTCGAGAATGGCGTCGTAGGCCCACTCGGGGGCGACCCACACGGCTGGTAGCCCAATAATATGGATGACAAATGTCAAAATAAGTGATAGGATGATTTGAGATGAATACAAATGCCTATGATACCATCTTTGGCATTATTGAGCCAAATAATGGGAGTAGGATTTTCCTTCTATATTATCCATCAAGTAAATTATTGAGATGAACCTACACATATTGGAGATCAATAATGTTATGTAGGAAGTTGACTGGTTCTAAATAAATTAGGATGAGTACAAAAAGACATCTTTGACAAAAGATAAAACAATAGGACCCATTCTTCCATTTTTGGGTGTATTGATAGATATTTTGGATCCCAAAATAATTGGGATCAATGGGGAACCACTCCACATGATATTAGTACCTGCAAGACAAGGAAAATATGTGAGAAGACTCACCTTGGCCGCACCACATGGAGAAGCACTGCCCATGACACAATTGGAATCAAATTTTGGGGCCACCACCACTGTTTTCGCACAAA